AGCCCTAAATCCCTAAATTGCAGGATGCGTGAGCCGCAACAAGGTAGTAAATAGTGTGACCTCGTAGCACATCATTAAATTCAAAGTGAATCAGGATAAACAAAAGATAGAATGGGATGAATATTTCATGCTTTCTTCTTGACATGTGACTGTTGAGCAGAAGAGAAATGAGCTTGGCACAAAAAAGTGTACGCTATTTTCATTCCCATGCACTGTTGCAGTGAAGGGACCAAAACCAATCTAGCGCCACCACCCTGGAGGTGCCAGCATTGATACGACCAAACCAAACCTGAGGATGCTCTGCAGTGGTAGGATACAAATCAGTTAACCGATCACAGCTTTCAACAACAAAACGCTAAATGTTGTCCACTAAACTGAACTGCGCTGCTTGGTGAATACCCGTATTCTCTGAAACTGTCCTTGGGTCAGGCAACATGATCACGCCTGGGTGCCGTTTGCATGCTCTCCCCGTACTTGTGTGGGTTATTCATTCATCCATTTACCGAGTGGATTTTTTATTTATTTTTTTGTCTTTGTGCCCTGTGGCTGACTGGTGGCCAGTCCATGGGGTAGCCAGCCTCATCAGCTTGGTTCGAGGCCAGCTCATTATAGCAACTCTAATAAGGACAAGTGGAAGAGAAAATGAATGAATGGCTGTCCATGGCAGCCAGGATGTCTTTTTTTTCGGTTAATTGAAAATGCAGGTTCAAGAGCAACAAAATGTATTTTTCAGATAAAAGGTTGAAGAGCCTTTGTGGCACAAACTGGAAAGAGAATAGAAGTAACACATAAAAGTTTTACATAGGAAGTGAAAAAAAAAAGAGCATTTGTAGACAAAGAAGCGGCGGCAAAGAAGCAGATTAATTAGATGCATTTTCCGACTCATGCAGTGTGACGGCTGAAATCAAACGTTAGTATTCAGAGTGTATGAAGCTCAGTCTTAACTTATCCACTTGAGTCGTGAGTAGTGATGCACATTGCTGAACTCCAGTGGAAATAAAGCGTCAAACTAAACTGTGCTTTGAGGTAATGCATTCAAATAGCTCATCAGCAGTCAAACCAGGACTTCATTCACCATTAGGCCAAACAACATCCACGCTCCAGGATGATTGCCCAAGCGGTGTCAGCTTCTCTTCTGTTTCCAAGCCTTCCTTTCATCCTTGAGTCCACAAGGTGGAAGAGCTTGAGTCTTTGGAGAATCACCTAAAAGAGGGCGGCCAGGCAGCAGCTACAGAGAAACCAGGGATGGAGGTTTAAGTCCGATAAGGTTGAACTCAAGGGGAAACCAGTCAGAAGAGGGAAAGAGCTTCAAAGCAGTTGCTGTCGCTGCGGCTCCGAGGCCGTGGACAAGGGGCCCTGGGCAGGACACGGGTGTTACTGTGGAAAGCGGAAAAGAGAAAATAGAAATTAAACAGATGAAAAGTGGTAAAGTGAAGCGGAGCTCCATGATGACCTGAGTCAAGTGGCTGAGGAGAAGTTATGTTTTCATCACCAACCGCCGAATAGATTGTTTTTAGCATGATGCCAAAATTATATACAGTGGTGAATTGAGATATTGAGGTGGAAGCATCCATATGAGTTTAGATTTTTTTGCTTTGACTTGTGAGCGCAAAGAGGGGCAGTAAATTAAAATCAACTCGCATAATATTGAGTACTTTACTATTAAACTATACATAAAACAAAGAGAAGTATCCATCCATCCCTCCATTTTCTAATCCGCTTATCCTCACGAGGGTCATGGGTGTGCTGGTGCTTATCCCAGCTGTCTTCAGGCAGTAGGCGGACACCCTGAAGTGGTTGCGAGCCTATCGCCACACACACATAGACAAACAACCATTCCCGCTCACAATCACGCCAAGGGACAAGTTGGAGTGCCCAATCAACCTGCCATGCATGTTTTTGGGATGTGGGAGGAAACCGGAGTACCCGGAGAAAACCCACGTCGGCACAGCGAGTGCATGCAAACTCCACACGGGAAGGTCGAAGCAAGAATCGAACCCCGCACCACATCACTGTGAGGTGGATATACTAACCAGTCATCCACCGTGGCGCCCCAAAGACATTTATATGGTGTGTATTTAAAACTATCAAACAGTGATGCTTTCCTACTCATGCAGTGTGACGGCTGAAATCAAACGTTAGCATTCAGAGTGTATGAAGCTCAGTCTTAACTTATCCATAGATGCATTTTCCGACTCATGCAGTGTGACGGCTGAAATCAAACGTTAGTATTCAGAGTGTATGAAGCTCAGTCTTAACTTATCCACTTGAGTCGTGAGTAGTGATGCACATTGCTGAACTCCAGTGGAAATAAAGCGTCAAACTAAACTGTGCTTTGAGGTAATGCATTCAAATAGCTCATCAGCAGTCAAACCAGGACTTCATTCACCATTAGGCCAAACAACATCCACGCTCCAGGATGATTGCCCAAGCGGTGTCAGCTTCTCTTCTGTTTCCAAGCCTTCCTTTCATCCTTGAGTCCACAAGGTGGAAGAGCTTGAGTCTTTGGAGAATCACCTAAAAGAGGGCGGCCAGGCAGCAGCTACAGAGAAACCAGGGATGGAGGTTTAAGTCCGATAAGGTTGAACTCAAGGGGAAACCAGTCAGAAGAGGGAAAGAGCTTCAAAGCAGTTGCTGTCGCTGCGGCTCCGAGGCGGTGGACAAGGGGGCCTGGGCAGGACACGGGTGTTACTGTGGAAAGCGGAAAAGAGAAAATAGAAATTAAACAGATGAAAAGTGGTAAAGTGAAGCGGAGCTCCATGATGACCTGAGTCAAGTGGCCATTAGCCCAAACAACATCCACGCTCCAGGATGATTGCCCAAGCGGTGTCAGCTTCTCTTCTGTTTCCAAGCCTTCCTTTCATCCTTGAGTCCACAAGGTGGAAGAGCTTGAGTCTTTGGAGAATCACCTAAAAGAGGGCGGCCAGGCAGCAGCTACAGAGAAACCAGGGATGGAGGTTTAAGTCCGATAAGGTTGAACTCAAGGGGAAACCAGTCAGAAGAGGGAAAGAGCTTCAAAGCAGTTGCTGTCGCTGCGGCTCCGAGGCCGTGGACAAAGGGCCCTGGGCAGGGCACGGGGGTTACTGTGGAAAGAAGAAAAGAGCAAATAGAAAGTAAACAGATGAAAAGTGGTAAAGTGAAGCGGAGCTCCATGATGACCTGAGTCAAGTGGCTGAGGAGAAGTTATGTTTTCATCACCAACCGCCGAATAGATTGTTTTTAGCATGATGCCAAAATTATATACAGTGGTGAATTGAGATATTGAGGTGGAAGCATCCATATGAGTTTAGATTTTTTTGCTTTGACTTGTGAGCGCAAAGAGGGGCAGTAAATTAAGATCGACTCGCAAATAGTGAACATTTCATCAGAAAAAATGTAGCTTCATGCTGTCAATGTTTACTACTTTACTATTAAACTATACATAAAACAGAGAGAAGTATCCATCCATCCCTCCATTTTCTAATCCCGTGGACAAGGGGCCCTGGGCAGGACACGGGTGTTACTGTGGAAAGCAGAAAAGAGCAAATAGAAATTAAACAGAAGAAAAGGGATAATGTGAAGCGGAGCTCCATGATGACCTGAGTCAAGTGGCTGAGGAGAAGTGATGTTTTCATCACCAACCGCTGAATAAATAGTTTTTAGCATGATGTCAAAACTATATACAGTGGTGAATTGAGATATTGTGGTGGAAGCATCCATATGAGTTTAGATTTTTTTGCTTTGACTTGTGAGCGCAAAGAGGGGCAGTAAATTAAGATCGACTCGCAAATAGTGAACATTTCATCAGAAAAAATGTAGCTTCATGCTGTTAATATTGAGTACTTTACTATTAAACTATACATAAAACAAAGAGAAGTATCCATCCATCCCTCCATTTTCTAATCCGCTTATCCTCACGAGGGTCATGGGTGTGCTGGTGCTTATCCCAGCTGTCTTCAGGCAGTAGGCGGACACCCTGAAGTGGTTGCGAGCCTATCGCCACACACACATAGACAAACAACCATTCCCGCTCACAATCACGCCAAGGGACAAGTTGGAGTGCCCAATCAACCTGCCATGCATGTTTTTGGGATGTGGGAGGAAACCGGAGTACCCGGAGAAAACCCACGTCGGCACAGCGAGTGCATGCAAACTCCACACGGGAAGGTCGAAGCAAGAATCGAACCCCGCACCACATCACTGTGAGGTGGATATGCTAACCAGTCATCCGCCGTGGCGCCCCAAAGACATTTATATGGTGTGTATTTAAAACTATCAAACAATGTTAGCTTAAAGGGGCCATATCCTGCAATTTTAAGCTTTCCGATATTACCTATATGATTTGATATTCTCTTTGGTTCAATGGCGATCCAAGTTCTTATGAAATATGAGTTATTTTGGAGGCTATTATTCTAAGCCCCAAATAAGACACCTTGTTCACCTCTGCCCGTGTGGCTGCCGCGCCCCTTTCATGACATCATCCTAAAGCTGGTCAGACGAACCACGCACGAGACAGTACTCAACAGTTTTCATCACTCGGGCGACTAATGCCACTTTTCATATGTGTGTATGCATGTGCATGCATGCCGTGTTATTTCTTCATGAGCAACTGGCCTGTGGGTGTCTATGTGAGCGAACAGCAGTGGGTGGCCAAGGTTGGAAAATAGAATAAGAGCACACTCTCACACACAATCACAGTCGGATGGGCTAAAAGCTGTGAGTGCTTTAGAAGAAGGTTAGCCTGAGATTTGTATGGTCTGACTATGTATACATACAGTACATATGGAATCAAAATTGAATTGAATTGAACATTTTAATCATCATGTGTACGTTTCAACTCACACCACCATTTGGATTTTAACCATTTATGTTCAACCCTGTATGCCACATCATGTTATGCCGCCGTGTTCTTTTCATGTCGCTCAGTCACTACAAAAGCTGTCCATTACTTCAAATACATTAACAGATCTGTGATGTGAAAACTGATTCTCGACTTTCCATTCGTCTTTTTGTTTTTCTAGATGCGGAGCACTCGAGGTGTGTCTGTGTGGCCAGTGGGGTTTGTTGGCGGCAGAGCATATGAGCGCCCAATCGTTTCAGGGGGCAGAGTTGTGGGCTGGTACACTGGCTGGAGACCAGACCGTACCTTTGCCACTGACATGGCAGGTAAGACGCAAGTCATACAAAGCATGTTTTAATTTTCATATACATGGTTGTATAATAATAACAATGACAATATTTTCATGATACTCTTGCATGTAATGAGATCTTACTCATTTCCATGGTGACCCATAGGATCGTCTACTAGTTACTACATCTATAGTATTGGTGGACGAAGACAACTAATGTTGTGCTAGCACTAGCATCTGTGTTAATGTTACCTTTTAGAGTTGTGTACATTGCGTGTGCACACTACAATCACCAGATTGTTTATTGACATCATGAAAATTACCTGGACTTGTTTACTGGAAGCTTGAAATTACAACCATTTCCATTTCCTTGAGCTTCAAATTCTGGATACCCAGCAGACATGACCTGCTACATGAATCATTGTCTGAAAAACTAAGCTTCCAAATATGAATAGTTTGTTCTTTCTGTTTGTCTTCAGCCTCAAAATAATTTGAAACAATGTCTCACGAGGCATGTTTTTCTTCCGTGCTTAGTCTTAAAAAACAAACATACAATTCCAACTTATTTCACCTCCATCAGCTTGTTATGATTACTGCTGTCGATTTGTATTGACTTTAATGACTCCAAATTACCGTACTTGTACAAAGTAGGTGACTCGCTAAGCTTTTGACTTTCCAATGCAGACAATATGCATCACACTATACAAAGCTAATCATTGACGCGTGATCTTAGCCCAAGCCTTTTTCACTCGTGTGATCCACAAAACAATCATCAACAACTGTTTGTGTTTGCACAGCCACATTTATTGACATTTATTTATTGATTACATACATCACAGCTGTCAAAAGGCACTCTCTGAAGGATGCCCACAACGACATGGTTCCTTTCGGTAAAAGCAAATGGCCGACTTGGTTTCCTCACACAAACTGATGTGGTCAGCACAAAAGAAGCTTCTCACTCTTAGCGGAGTGGGCAACTGCGAGGTCAGCTCTTCTGCTATTCAGCAAAATGATAAAAGGCACGAAGACACTTTTTAAGTGTGTCTTGAGGAGAACAATACGACGAAGAGCATTTAAGTTTGGATTGGTAGCTATGATAATGAAATGACAGTACCAATCAAAGGTTTGGAAACACTTTCCGATTCAAAGGGTCTTCAACACATTACGAGGACGTAAACACACACTCACACAAACAAATGCTTTGAAATGCGAACAGAGTGGAAGTAGAACGAGTCCCAGAGCAGACTGTGGTCAACTTGGAGGTTCCACTGCACTCCATCATAAAAAGCAACATTTTGCCCACACATTTACTTTATGTTGGTAACCAAGAACAAAAGCGTAATGAGTGTTGATTGCATGAATGCTTTCAAAACACATATGTCCACACAAGTGACTGCACTGCGGCCAACCACACATGCACTCACTTTATCTCAAATATGCACACGTCTGCCCCTGGGATTATTGTTAATTAAACCCGAACAAGAGTGAGCATCTCTTTTTCATTCTACTACCTTGTTTCACCGCAATTATCATCTACTACCTTTTTTCATCGCAATTATCACTGCCAGCGTGCTCATCTTTTTTTCCTAATCTCCCTCTTAGACTCTCACATGCAATGCCCCTTCCTCTCAAATGCTTTCATTTTTTTGCATGGTTTCACAACTTTCATCTTTAAGATCGTCAAACTAATGTAGTCCAGCCAGTGACATGTCTCATGTAATCATTGGCCAATGAAAACCTTAACATAGGACGACCATTGAGCAAAATTGTGCGCAGTTATCTACTGCTAATTGGCGAACAAGAGCGGGTGAGATCCACATCTTTTACTTGCAACCTAATGATGTGTGTGTGTGTGTGTGTGTGGGGGGGGGGGGGGTTGTAACGGTAACAGAATACGGTTACTTTTTTTTTTTTTTTTGTATCCTGAATACATAACGACCGTACATGTATGTTTCAATTGAGTTTGAGAGGGAATGATGCAATGGTTCTGGTTGCAATTTTATGTAACACATAAAGGAACTTCTTAAGACGGTAAATGTGGCATATATCTCTCTAATAAAAGACAACTGGATGCGTATCTCGATATATCTGAAAGTGGAACGGTTCGATTCAGTTTAATTTGACGCAGTCGCGTCTTTGAAATTAAAATCGATTTTCCAGTTCAAATCGTTTTTTTTTTTTTGTTGCACGCCTTCTGGAAATGTATTGTAGCATGGGTGAAAGAAGGTTGACAAAATCATCCTCCATAAAATTGGCCAAATCTGACCCGAAGAGAGAAAGAAGAGAGGCGGCCACAACAGGGAGGCCACAGATGAAGGCTGTGCATCTCAAATTAACCCTTTGGTGCACCCTGTAACCTGATAACATGATAACCTGTCCACTGTAGTAACCGCTGTCCCTGAAAGGGTTAAAGAGAACAGAGCCCCAATCGGAGCAACGCTTATTTACATATTGATTATTTTTTCAAATATTAATGAGGAAACCGTTCAAAGTCAGTTATTCTGACCAATAAAAATAAGCCGGAAAAGGGCACCCTGCTCATTTCCACCCCAAATTATTTTGTAAACTTCACAAAAGGATATAAAACTTTACGACATGGCATCTTTAACAAGTGGGGGCAAGTAAGATAAGAAAACCTTTATTTGTCTCAAAATGGAGAAATTCCCAATTTACAGCAGCAACATTATGAAAGGCAGAAGTAGAAGAACAAAAAGTATATAAATAAATATAAATTATAAAATATAGATATAAGCATTTTAAAAATGGGTGAGTGGGGGTGACTCCAGGTGTTCAGGTTCATCTATTGAATAGCCTGACAGCAGTCGGCAGGAACGAGCGACGGTACCTCTCCTTCTTGCAGCGCAGGTGTATCAGTCTCTGGCTGAAGGAGCTGCCCAGTGTTGTCAGGGTGGCCTGGAGGGAGTGGGAGGGTCTGTCCATCATAGCTTTTAGCTTGGCTAGAATCCTCCTGTTGCCCACCTCCTCCAGAGTGTCCAGGGATTATCCCAGGACAAAGCTGGCCCTCCTGACAAGTCGGTCCAGTCTCTCTCTGTCTTGGGCTGAGATGCTGCCTGACCAGCAGACTATGCCATAATGAATGGCTGAGGCCACCACAGAGTCATAGTAGGTCTTAAGGAGTGACCCCTAAACTCCAAAAGACCTCAGTTTTCTGAGCAGCCCCTTCCTGATGAGAGCGTCCATGTTTTACACCAGTCTAGTTTAATGTTGAGAAGAACACCCAGGTACTTGTAGGAGGTCACCCTCTCTATGTCCGTATCCTGGATGTTCATCGGTGCAGGTGAAGACAGTTTCCTGCAGAAATCCACAACCAACTCCTTAGTTTTCCTGGGGTTGATCCGGAGGTGGTTCTCCGGGCACCAGTCCACAAAGTCCTCCGTCAGCCCCCTGTCGTCCCGATCATCTCCGTCCGTAATGAGGCCGACGTCTTGTACTTGTACTTGTTCAAGCAGGGTCAGGTCGCTTTGATTTGAAATTTTTCCTTCATTAAAAAGAATCACCATTTAATAACTGCATGATATGGTTACTTGGAGGAAAGATACTAAAAAAAAAAAAAAAAAAAACCCCTAAAAAAAAACCCTTTGGATTTACTTTATTCAGACATTGGTTGCATGTGATTAAAATGTTGCACATGATCAAGTGCTGTTTTTTTCAGTGTACATACACACAACCTAATTATCATCCTCATATTTTTACTGCACTAAATACTTTCACAGTAACAAGATTTATGCGGTAGCAGCATAATAGTTTTGGGGGGTTTTTTTGTATGAAATTGTGCAAGAACAACAAAGGATGCGCTGAACCAGTGACCAAACTTAATTCACTTTTAAACGATTATTCATAGGGATTACAATGGGCTGACTGTAGGCCTCCGAGTGGGTGTCAGCGCTCGTCCAAAAAGTTATGTGCTGCACAGAGCCGCATTGTTATCAGCGCACTAAAGCTGCACGTCTACAATGTGACCTCATTGAGCTGGACACAAAGGAGCCCCAACCATTTTGTGTATGTGTGTCTATAATCATGGATGAAGAGAGCATATAAACACAGGCGTGCACACTCAATACAATCATGAATCTTTTCAGAATGACACGCCCATCAGCACATGCATGAACTGATGCGAGCGGGCTTGTGTACATGCTCCGGAGAAATGACAAGCGTGCAATTGTCTAAGCGCACATTGGAGCAGCATCTGTGCAAATCGAGGCGAGGGTGCACCTGTGCACACACGGCAAACAAGAAAACACACACAACCAACAACATGTCGCTGAGATGGCGCCGGCCGCCTTCGCTCAAGTGGTGCTCGCCACTGGAGAAGTGGTCGCTGAGAAGGGGACATGAAAGCGTTTAACCCAGAGTGACCTTGTCGGTTCGATGTTGCTGTTCCCAAGGCAGTGAGATAGAGACTTGATACAGGAAAAGTTAGAACATCCTCTCATCCATAAAAGCGGGGGAGTAGTCAAGATATGTGATGAACTACTAAAGTATAGTTTATGTGGGGTCGAACGCAGTATAAAACGTCAAGTGTTGCGTCCTTGTCAGCTTGAGATGCAATTATCTACGAACTTCATAAATTATTATCTGATACTAAAGGGAGAATTACTGTCTACTTACATTCAAATGGCCAAAGTTAAATTGCGTTGGAATTTTAGAGGCTTGCAGACAACTAATTGAAGGCTGAACAATTTGAACAAAAGTAATTAATTATGATTGCCTCCCACACCTCTTAAAAATGTGGTTTTTTTTTATTTATTTATTTTTTTAAACAACACATAATTAATGTTTTGTTATCCATTTTCTGATCTGCTTTATCCTCACAAGGGTCGCGGGGGGTGCTGGAGCCTATCCCAGCCGTCTTCGGGCAGTAGGCGGGGGCCATCCTGAACCGGTGGCCCGCAAATCGCAGGGCACACATACACGTACATACAAACAACCATCCGCGCTCACACTCACATTTTGGGACAATTTAGAGTGCTCAATCAGCCTGCCATGCATGTTTTTGGAATGTGGGAGGAAACCGGA